TCGAAATTTTACTATATGTTTCTAACATATAAATTGTATCTCTTTTATAGTAACAAATGTCCCAATAAGGACATACGAGGGAAAAAAAAAAGAAAAAGAAATAAGGATTGAGAAGTAAAAAAAAAAAGGTTTTTATCTTTTTTTTCTCTATTATTTTTGTCTTCATTTTCTTCTTTTTTTCTCTCTTGTTTTTTTTTTTTTTTCTCCGTTTTCTTTAATCTCTATTATTTTATTTATTTTCTATGTGCTTATAAGCATTAGGCCATATCTAATTTCAATCCTAACAATTGTATATGCTCGCGTGCCTAGCCTCATCAAAAAGTATTTTCTGTTTTAGTCCCACATCGAAATTTTAATATATGTTTCAAACATATAAATTGTATCTTTTCGATAGTAACAATTATCCCAACAAGGACAATACGAGGGAAAAATAATAATAATAAAAATAATAAAAAAAAAAAAATTTAACAATTTTTCTCTTTCATTTTTTTCTTCATTTTCTTCATTTTTTTCTCTTTTAATTTTAAATTTTTATTTTTTTATTATTTTATTTTCAGTTTTTCTCTTCTTTTTTTTCCTCCCTATTTTTTGTTTTTTCTTTTCTTTGTAGTCATACGCTTTAGCTCATATCTAATTTAAATCCTAAGAATTGTATATGCTCGTGTACCTTGCTGCACCAAAAAGTTTTTTCCATTTTTGTCCCACATCGAAATTTTACTATATATTTCCAACATTTTTTTTCTCATTTTTTCTCCTTTTTCTTTTCTCTCTATTATTTTCTTTCTTGTCTATGTACTCATAAGTTGTAGACTATATCTAATTTAAATCCTAACAATTGTATATGCTCCCGTACCTTACTGAACCAAAAAGTATTTTTTGTTTTAGTTCTACATCGAAATTTTACTTTATGCTTCTAGCATATAAATTGTATCTCTTCGATAATAACAATTGTCCAAACAAAGACATTCGTGGGGGAAAAAAAGAGAAGAAAGGAAAAAAAAAAAAGAGAAGAAGGAAACAAAAAAAGGGATGAAAAAAAAAGAAAAAAAAGGCTTTTTGTTTTTATTCCCTATTATATTTCCTTCATTTTCTTCTTTTTTCCTCTTTTTTATTT